ATCGTGCTTTATATATATAGCTCTGGATTGTCAATATAAGCTGTAAGTGTGTTCCATAACAAGTGAAATTGGTTTGAGATGCAAATTTGAAGATGTAATGACTTTGGTTGCATGTATGGACTTTGAATATGCATGTATTGACTGAATTGTCCAATTTTTGGTCCTTATATTTTGGATTGAATTGTACTTTGGTTCTTTTAGTCTCAATTAAGCGATATTAGAGAGAGGGATTCGAACACAAGACCTTGAGTGCAGGATACAAGCCCCTTGCCATATGATATATCCTTCTAGTTAACCATAACCATTGAAATTGGGCCCAAAAATCCCAAATTTAAATGTGATATAAAGGTTAATTAAAGAGAGTTGTTATTCACACTTTAAATAGTAATCATATAAATTAGATGTTGACAACAACTCTCTATGAAAATTGAAACTATACATAGATGAAATTGAGTTCAAACTACAAGAGACCACATATACAATTTATCCTCATGTTTTTTTTTTTCTTTTGGGAGTTAGAATTATAGTTTAGTCAATAATATATTAATTAATTGAAGGTACAACCGAAACATCCAATAATAAAAAAGAAACATATCATCATGTGCTGATGATGCCTCAAATTGGTTTAGGATGGTTCCTCTTGGAATACTCTTTGCTGACCAACCCCTACCCCACACCATCAAAAGAAAATTGGTGTTGTCTTTTTCTTTTTTAATCTTTTGAGAAAGGGGGAATGCAATAATAAGGACAATAATAATAATAATTACATCCATAAACATGAGTTATCTACTTGTTTACTTGATTTCCAAGTAGTTATCTATTACAAAGCTAAACGCTTACTAAACTTTAAAATGACATGCAAGGAATTTGTAAATCAAGTGGTTAAAAATAGTATTTATCTCCGCACCCGATAACATCATCATTTTACCAATAAACACAATGCCAATACAAAAAACACATAACTAGAGTCTCCTACTCTGAGCTTCAACATGTGTTTCGTGAAGAAAATTTGGTTATTGATGTTTTGGCAAATTTGGGTCATCATCAACAAAATCTTTGCATTTGATTTAATATGTTCCCAGATTCTATGGTTATGCGACTGTTATTTGATGAAAGGAATTTTGAGATTCCTCGAGGATCCGCCTTGTAATTGTTTTTTTGTACTTCAAAAAAAGGTAATAACTAGAGTCTCCTATTTTATCAACTTGAGATTCCTCGAGGATGAAGTAAGAAACTGTAGTGTCCTATCAACGTTTCATGAATCATGATAAAGGGAAGGGGCTATTTTTGAAGTGGCACATAGAACCCTTCCTACCAAATCCAACATGCACTTTTTTCTCTTTTGGCTATATTTTGGACGAGTCTCTTCTTTTGGCTTACAAAGCAAGACAAATCAAATACGTGCCCACCAACTTTGCTTATACCCCAAAGCACCCAACCACAACACTTAATTGTGTAGCTAGAGTAGCTAGAGAGAGAGAGAGAGAGAGAGAGAGAGAGAGCAGTTGTCCAATTGCCACTGTAAAAAAGAGGTTTTCATGCTTCTTAAACAAGACTAATGGAATGAGAGCTAAGCTGGCCTCACACTACTCTAAGTCTCCAACTGACTTCATCATTCTGTTATTTCTGTGCATATCTGCATATATATATATATATATTCTTAAATTGAGTGATGTGCTTCCATGGTCAACAACAATCACAACAAGTACACAAATAACTCAAACTGCTTCACATACTCATTTGCAAACACAATGGTCCCTTCGGCCCCTGCTAAAATACTCATAGGCATCTCCACAGACCCAAATGATAGCCAAGAGTTGCTCTCATGGGCAATCAAAGTTCTAGCTCATCCAAATGATACCATTGCTGCCATACATGTTCTTGGTCAGTATTTTGGAATTAATTTACCATAGTTTTGATTGATCTTTTTATTTTTGGGTATCTCATTCATTTGCCCTCTAATTCAAATTTAAAGAAAAATTAGTGAGTGTGGAAGAATTGCATTTTTAGCATAGCCAATTTTTATCAGTGAATTTATTTGTATGCGTGATTGAATTTGCTATGTCTTGCAAAATTCTATTTTTCAGTTGGGGAGGAGAGGAAGAAGCGCGATTTAGTGGCGAAAAAGCAATCACAGCTTCGTCGAGCAAAAGCCTATGTGATATCTGTGCTTGGAGAATTTGCCAGGGCTTGCCAATCTAAGCAGGTGACCTGAAGTAATAAGTGATGTGGAAGATTATCAACTTCTTTTGAAAATTGTAACAAGCTCAGTATCAGTAACCTGCTGATGCAGTATATTCTACAGCAGAGTTATACGGCTAATCTGCAAATAACCATTAATTTTCAAGACTAATCTGTAAATACAATTAATTTTCAGGTTAATTTGGAAGCTAAAGTAATTTTTAGCTCCAGCATTGGAAAAGGTCTAATTGTGGAAACAAAATCAATTTCAGCAGACTATCTTCTTCTTTGTGGCTCAAGAAACCAATCAACTAGGTGAAGACAAGCTTATTCTGAAAAGTTTCAATGTTTTTTCAATATGATCTCTCATGACTGACATTTTCCCCTCACTGAATTAGAACTCCATCCATTACAAAATATTGCTTCAAGCATGCCCCAGATAGCTGCTCACTGGTTTTATTTGGGAAGTCTAAGCAACCTCAAGAAAATTCAGATTCACATTCTACAGACTCAAAAGGTAACTTATTTCGAAAGCATTTTTCGGATAGTATAAGAATTATTTTCGTGGACTGTATTCTAATCTGTCCCTAATAACAGAAAACGATCAACCGAGTCCAATTCATAGTGGCAGAACTACATCCTCTTCTAAAAAGCAAACTGTCCAAGAAACAAGGAGTAGAAATCCTTCACCAAGAACTGTTCTAGGTGAATTTGAAGCAGAATCTCAGAGCACAGAAGATTATAGCGGCAGCTATGGGGACTCTGCCCTCACAGAGTCCCCTTCTCTGGCTAGGGACTCTGCCCTCACAGAGTCCCCTTCTCTGGCTCCTCCCATGTTCAAGAGCCAAATAAAAATAAGGAAGCGAGGACTGTCACCTTGCAGAATTATTACTTCTTTTTTAGGTTCACCATTCAGAAAAAGAACTGGCAGTTTATCCAACAACGAAAAGCGGTTACCTTTGTTGAAGTGCTTCAGCTACGGGGAGATCATGGCTGCTACAAATAGCTTTCACCCAGGTAAAAGTGACTGTACAATTAGTTGTCACAATAATATTGAACATTTCTGATAAATTTTTTAAAATTGTGGTGTTTCGTGAACCTCGTAGTGCTGTTGGTTTTTGCCTATTTGAAATTCTCATGTCATTTGGTTCTTCTGAGTTTCAGATAATATAGTAGGTCGAGGTGGATATTCAGAAGTGTATAAGGGTGACCTTTCTGATGGACGAACCATTGCGGTTAAGATGTTGGCCAAGGACAGCAAGGATGCTAACAAGGAAAAAGAGTTCCTCATGGAATTGGGTGTAATTTTACACGTCTGTCATCCTAATACTGCTAACTTAGTCGGTTGCTGCATTGAAAATGGACTCTACCTGATTTTCGATTTCTCACAAAATGGAAATTTGTCATCTGCTCTGCATGGTAAGAACAATACACTGCCTCAATTTCAGTAGGATTTACATGCATATATATATATATATATATATATATATCCAGATATTGTATGAAGACTTCGGAAAGAAAAAAAAATCGAAATATGTTGTTTCTGGAGGGGAAGAAAAGGGACATACCATTGAAAGTAAAAGTCGATTTGTCATTAAGACTAATTAATTAGAGAAAGTTCACTTAATTTTGCAATCAACAAGCTGAGTTTTTCAACTTTCACCAATTATATTCATGACCTGTTCAATTGTACACATTAAGTATGCCTGATACGAACAACTTGCTGATTACTTGAGACCCTCTCAAACAATATTTCTTCAGGGAGATCTTGCGAGTCACTTTCGTGGCCAATCAGATACAAGATTGCCATTGGAGTTGCAGAGGGTCTGAATTATCTACATAAATGTTGCAAGCACCGAATAATACATCGAGACATAAAAGCCTCAAATGTCCTTCTAGGACCGGATTATGAACCACAGGTGAAGAAGCAAACAACTTACTTCAGTGCAATGAGCTTGATAGCGTTATCGATCCCTCTAAATTCAGATGTAATTTTATATGTGTGTAGATTACAGACTTTGGACTAGCAAAGTGGCTTCCTAACAAATGGACTCACCATGCTGTGATTCCAATTGAGGGTACATTTGGATACTTAGCACCAGAGTACTTCATGCATGGAATTGTGGATGAAAAAATAGATGTTTTTGCATTTGGGGTTCTTCTTCTCGAAATTGTAACTGGAAGAAAGCCCGTGGATTCATCAAAGCAAAACCTTCTCCTCTGGGTAAGGAATTTCTAAACTATATGTAACGCATGTACACATACACAGACACAGACACAGACACATATACCTATACAATCAGTAAATCTCTTCATCTTTCTCTAAGTATTGAGAAGCTGGAAAACAAAACTTGGAAAATCAAAGATGCACCCAATCTAGATATTCTGCTACAGAAGCCATGTTCTTATTTCTTATGATAGATTGAAATGAAACTTGAAAAAAAAAAAGGGGGTAAAATGAAAGACTGTGACTTGCTAGAAGCAGAAAATGGGCAAAATAAGACCTAAGAATCCAAGCATGTCTCTCTTCTTGATATTGGATCAAGCAAACTGCAAATTCCTCATTTTACCATATACATATTTGTATGTAGGCAAAGCCTCTTATGGAATCAGGGGACATAGAAAAACTAGCTGATCCAGAACTGGAAGGAAAATATGATGCAGAACAACTACACAGAGTAGTGCTTGCAGCTTCGTGTTGCGTGAGACAATCCTCGGTATGGCGTCCGCCAATGAGTGAGGTACAGCACTGATTCACTATGCATTATGCTGGACACAATAAATTCATCTCATCATGAATTGGAACTTTGATTTCTTATATATATACATATCTGTTTTTCTTTTTGGCTTAGGTGTTGGAGCTTCTAACCCATGGCCATAACTCAGAGGTTGCAAAAAGCTGGATCCCTAAGTTTTCATCAGATGAGTTGGATGATTACTCCATGGTTTTTGGATATGATGTTCCAGTAGATATTGATTTGGAGGACTACTTATAAGTATTAGACCCTTGTTTTTATTTATTTATTTTCTGCATTATGATTTTAGGTTTAATTACTTGTGACAAAAGAGAGATCCAGTTGACTGTGTAAAACGTAAAATAAAAAAAATAAAATAAAATAAGTTGGCTTCTTCCTTGTAATTTTTTCCATTTTTTTGGGTAATTCAAATACCACAATTCTGTTAAATTCTTGATGCAGCCTAAACTCAGAATCTATTATAGCCTAATAACTCCAATTGCCTCAGCTCTGAATTGAGAGGAAAAAGAGAACACAACGGCGCACCCGAATCGAGAACAAGAACAAAATTTGCACTCCAATAGTTGATCTTCAAATTCCAGAACAGTTCTGAATTTGTACAGTTTTGGTCAAAGAACTAAAATTTCTGAGATGAAACAAAGAAGCTGGTCTAAATCCTTAATCATGATAAAGGTACCTCCTCGAGGTTCTAAAACTGTAGGGCGATGCCAACTTTTCTTCTTCTTCTTCTCCCACCTCCTCTGTTTTCGACATAAAACCCCTGTTGTTTATAAATTGCAGCTTCACATACTTGTCTTTCAACTTATGACTATGATTCTTGAGCAACGCATTGTTGGGAATTTCATTCGGCAATTCAGGAACCTTTTCTTGTTGTTTTTCAGCTTCAAATCTTCTTTTTCGCTGCATATTCTTTCCAGATTGAACCGACGGCTCTGTTTCAATCTCCTCCATGTTGATGAATTGTTCTGATGGGGGCATTG